CTCCCATCGAAACGCGGTTGGTTCGCTCATCATCGCATTAATTGAGCCAATCATTTTTCTTCGTTCGCGCTTTTCACGCTCACGAGAACTGAGGCTGCGTTTTCGAAGTTCAAAAACGGTTTGCGAACTCGATCTCCGCGTGTACTCGCGGAGCGCGCGCAACGATCCCTCGTCGAACCGAAATCGAATTACGCAACCACGCAGGCACGTTTTCCATCTCTTCAACGACCGCGCGAGTTTCCTCTCGGGCGCGCTTCCGCGCGCACTACGATACCGTGGCATACAATTAGACCCGCGGATTAACCTTACCGAATAAACCTGACCGCGCTATTTCCCAACGCGTTTATCGGAGTATCTCGAGAAGTGCGCGCGGCCGACGCGTACGACTCCGCAGGCGAGTCCTTTGTTTCGTGCCCACCAGGTCTTTTTGCATGAGATGCGCACTCTCGCCCCTCTTGTCTGTGCATCTCCCGATTGTATTCCACCGCGAGATTCCGGCGGAGATACTTCGGGGCCGTGGTAACAGATTGCGCGTAGAAATTATGCCGGGGTATCTCGCGGGGACGGCGGGCGGGCTATCACGAAATGCTCGCTTAGAGCAACATCACCCATTTTACGGACTAAGAGTCGATTACGAGGAATACGTTGCATATTTATGAGGAGAGCCCGCCGAAACAATTGTTCCTGGCGATAATTCGGACTTTCGACACAAATAAACGATAAATGTCTCCCGGTGATAATTAAATCGTACACCGTGTATAGCTGCGTTTCGTATATAAGCACACAGAAAAATATATACCGCATTCGGATAAATATTATTTGTTTCAAGTATTTTTCACAAGTTTATATAGCCGCAAGTATATGTCACAAGTTCACAAGTGTCAAATTTATTCAAAGTATTAGATTGGTGCAAATGAAATGTCCGTTTTCGGTGTTTTGAATTTCCCACCCTTATAGATTACTTTTCTTTCATACAGAGAACGGTGTATATATACTGTGTGAAAAGTACATGATCCATATGTGATTTAGCGCATATAACTTTATTTCTATATTCTATATTGTTAGTCATAGAGGTTTACATTAACGCTGTGATAGAAAATAGAGAAATTCATATAATTTATTTATACGAGTTCAAACTTGGTCATACTGCAGCCGAGGCAACGCGTAACATTCATACTGCATTTGGTGAAGGTACTGTAAGTGAAATAACGACGAGACGTTGATTTGAAAAATTTCTGGGGACACAAACCTCGACGATTTATCTCGCGGACACGCACCTTCCGTCATTGATGACGTTGTTTTGAAGGAAATGGGTTGAAACAGATCCAAAGTTAACAGTCTGAAAGATTGTCAAAGATTCGAAGTTGATCATTCAACTGCGATATTTAAACTGTCCGATATTTAAACAAGTTGGGAAAAGTGAAAAAGTTGGATAAATGGATCCCCCATGAAATCATACAGAGAGACAAATTGAGACGTTTGGAGATCTGCATTTCTTTGCGGTTGCCACAGAATACAGATGGAATTTTACACAGGATTGTGACTTGTGATGAAAAATGGATTTTGTACGACAACCACCGACGTTCTGCGCAGTGGTTAGATGCGAATGAGGTTCCAAAATACATTCCAAAATCGAATCTTCACCCCAAGAAAATGATAGTGTCTGTATGGTGGTCTAGCAAAGGTATCGTTCATTATTCATTTACCAAACAAGGTGAGGTTATAAATTCTGATACGTACTGTCAGGAAATTGCCACCATGCACCAAAAACTGAGCGCTCCACAGCCAGCATTCAACAGACACGGCATGTTGCTGTTGCACGATAACGCTAAACCACACATTGCAAAACAAACCGTTCAAAAACTCGCCGAGTGAACATTGAAGTTCTCCTTCACCCTCCATATTCTCTAGACATCTCACCAACAGATTATCATCTTTTCAAGCATCTGGATGCGTTTTTGGCGGGCAAAAATTTCAATGAAGAAAGAAGTGTGAAGAATGCATTTAAGGAGTTTATCGATTCACGCTCTCTAGATTTTTTTAGAAAGTGTATTGATGCGTTTGGATCATGTTGGCAGAAGTGTATTGAAGTAGGTGGAAGCTATTTTGATTAGTTATGTAAGTTTTAAATTTGAAAAATACAAGTTTCAATTTTATATTTATAAACGGCCATTTCGTTTGCACCAATCTAATATATTATGAATTCTAGTAAGTTTAGTACTTCAATTAAGAATATATACATTAAATTAAGGGGCTACGCCAAACGGCTCAAAAACTCCCAATGTTTGAGTTTTTCTGCTAACTATATTATGAAGATGTTCTTTTGAGAGATGATTCTTCATACTTTTATTTACATATTATTACATGAAGCCTATTACAAAAAGTTGATATGTAACGTATATGTTGTTATTATTGCTTTTATGAAATCGTTATCGCTAATCCGTATTCAACAAATCTAGGGAACTATCGACCGATTCAACTCTGTAGTTTTACATAAATATTCTCAATAAGATATATTGATTTTATTAAGAATATTTAAATATATAAAATTAAAATATTAATTTTTTTAATATTAATTTTTAATAAAGCTACTAACATTTGATGTGAAGAGTTCGATTGTTCGCCAAAAATTTCTCCTCTTTTCGTTTATAAAAAACTACAACATCGATCAAAAAAACCTTACGACAAGACTAAATAATAATGTTACTAAGAATATTTACGCAAAACTACAGAGCTTATATAGCCCCTTAAAACACTAAAACTAAAACTTCGGTTTACTTGTTCAAATTAATCGAATTTATCTTATCTTCGATGAAATTTATAATATTCTTGAAAACAGAATAAATTCTTCTTTCGAGTACATGATAACGAGCTTTTCTAAAACTGGTGACGAGTATATTTGAAGAATATCATCAGAAAAAATTTATTATTCTTTATCTTCGACAAAGAAAAAAACTGTTACACGGAGGGAAGAAGGAGAATAAACTGAGTAGTCGCTTTTCTTAGTAGTAGTAGAATGATATATTTCTCTATGCACGCTCGCTGTATAATTTACCGCCGAGCTTCGTGTGTGATTATTTATCGAATGGCATTTACGATGTTTTCTATCTCCAGAATGTCTACCGAATGAATGACGTAACGCGGGAAGGTCGTCGGGCGGCCGCGAATATGGGTCGAGCGCGCCGAGTAGCGTATCTGCTCAAGGACTCGGCTGATTAGTTCGGTCCTACACGAGCGAAGGACGTCGGTCCGTCAAGCCGGATCCCCCGATTAGGTGCAATTAAGGCGAACGAGACGCCAAACCGCAACGCGTCCGATCGATGGCTACCGGCACACGCATCGTCGTCGCTCGCGCGCGTTAACGTCGATAAAATTCTCACGTTACGGTACAGTAAAACTACCGCAAGGCCGCCGACTTGTTCGCGAATGCACGGCACTTGCTGCACAAAACTTGGCGACCACGACCGTCCGATGGCCGTCCCATCTGCGTGTCGTACGGCTATTCACCCGTGCGACGGCCGCTCGTGGTCGACCTTCTTTTTATCGGACGGATATGGCAATGAGTTACCGCGATTTTCTCACACCGCCGGGAATTATCGTCGCGTCACCGAGGTATGCGCGTTGTGGGGAGAAAAAAGAAGCACAAGGATTGCGTAGGTGACGTACATTGCGATTATCTGTCTTCATCTCTGCTTTGCTTTGCGTCGCAACTGCGTAGATACTTGTAATGCAATATCATATTTGTATATTAATGAAATGCAGTTTTTAATAGACAGACTTTAATCGATTCAGTGATCAATACTGAGAAATAGTTGGCGAAGGATTTACTGGAAAAAGATATTAACTTCTGCCCGGGAAAAATTCTCCATATATATAATCAGATATCATTATATATAATTTTATATATTATTATTTTATATATGATTATATGTAAATATATAAACAAATATATATAATGTACGATATATATATTGTCAAACGAAATATGAGACAGCAAATAGCGGAAAGTTTTTTTATAGAATTAAAAAAGAAATAAATATATTTTTTTTCTGCTATATATATATAGTCTATACGTAATCAGATAGTTATATATAATCATGTATAATTATATATTTTGATACAGGGACATATTCTATACAGGATGATTCTGAAGGATGATGAGCAAAACTTAAATAGGAAAAAGAGGATGTCCTACTGAACATCTTGAGATAGGGAAATTTAGGGTTTTACATTACGCTGTAACTTAAGTTGGTAAATAATATGGAAATAAATCAATATAAATAAGTGTAAATAATATGAAAAACAGTAAGCGATAGCGATTGACATGTTTAAATGCATAGCTTCTTAAGCTGGCTTCGCAGACCCTAAGTCCTAAAAATGTTCAGTAGGACATCTTCTATTTCCTCTTTCATTTTGCACACTCACTCAGAATTACCCAGTATATAATTATATATGAGAAATTCCCTCGCCCCCTCTTCGAGTAGTAATACCCTTTGACACGAGAAGAGTCAGTTTTGTACAATTTCTCGTCGATCAAAATGTAACGTGTATTTAAAAAATGTGGAAAACACTTCTTCGCGTCACACGGCCGAAAAATGGCAGTAATCGTCCCGTTAAAATCGTCATTAAAGATCTCTTATGTTGAGTTACTTACTTGAATAGCTCTCGATGTCTCTCTAAAACTCCACACTTCCGTTTACGAGAGACACAGTATAGCGTCTCTCTCTCTCTCTCTCTCTCTCACACACACGCACACATACACACAGATACTTTCATTACACATATATTTTTTACGTGTGCCCGATGATGAGCAAAAGGCGCTCTCATACATCATGTTATTTAATCGCGCAATTCTTGCTCTCCCGCGGCAATCTCTCCGCGCACGCGCGCAAAAAAGAAATAAGAGAACCGATTATGTTTGAGCACACCCGGAAGGCAGTCCGTTTTGCGGCAATTAGCGAGCATGACAATCAAATGTATTAATTTTCCCGTCTCCGCAGTTCTGAACGTGGCCGGCGGCAAGGCGCCGATGCAGTCCAGCAACACGGACGGCGGAATTCCGCAACGCGCGGTCGACGGAAGTAGCAGTGAGATTTACACGTCGCAGGCCTGCACCCTGACGAAGCTCGAACGCAGACCATGGTGGTACGTGAACCTGCTGGAGCCGTACATGGTGCAGCTGGTGCGTCTGGACTTCGGCAAGCCGTGCTGCGGTAAGTGTTACTGTATATCTGTCAGCAACTTCAAGCCGGCTGTGAAAATTCACCGTTTCGCGCTACGGATGATTCCCGCGGACAGTAAGCGGCGCAACGTGCTCTGTTAAACGACGCATGCGATATCGCGATATACTCGTCTGGTGCGAGCTTCATCGAAAGATTCGCTTTACAAATCGTCTTGAATGGAAATTATGCTGGAATTCGCATCAAATCTAGGATATGGACGCAATAGGCTGATTTAGCCGGTGAACTGAAAACTTAATTTCACACGCAAAAAAATTTAGTATCAATTCAAGATTCATATTCTCATATATATGAGCAAGAATATAATAATAAGAATAATATTACTGGGCGCTAATGATTATGTACAGAGTATAAAAGTATTGAAGACGCTATGTTGAGATTGACCAAAAAACGAAGCAATAACTGTACAACTGGTTTTGCCGCCTTGCTTAAATGTATATAAATGAATATAATCTTATATGAAAATAAAATTTTCTCTTACATGTGAAGAAATTCTATATAGTCCTGTTTAAAAAATATCATATTGTTATTCAAAAATAATTTTTATGAATTAAAGGAAAAAAATATTGGGTAGGAAGAATGATATCTTCGAACTAAGAATTGTATCAATTTGAAAATATCTTTTGTCTACCCATTATTTTTTTCTCTCAATTCATAAAAATTATTCTTAAATAATAAGGATGTAATATCTTTAGCGCACTGAGAGAAAAAAATCTAAAAAATAAAATATATTCGGTGTGAACTAATAACATATTTACTTATACTAAAATACATATTTTTACACTGAGAAAAAATTCCTTTCAAATGAAGAAATATAAATCTTCTTAAATTTATAACTTCCCATGAAAGCAACTTTTAATTTACTTAAGTAGAATAATTCATATTTAAACAAATATGTTAGTACTCACCGAATAAATATTTTTTATTTTTTATATATTTTTTCTCAGTGTTAAATTATATAGAATTTCTCCATATATATAAAAGCAAGTTTCATCTTTGTATAAGATTATATAATATATTCTTGCTTATACATATGAGAATATAAGTCTTGTATTGATACTAATTTTTCTCGTGCACACAGATCAGATAAGTGAAATATTATTATCCACATTTACGTTGAGACCGAAATCATCGAGAATTTCGACTTTTCTATTAGGAGAATTACAACAAACTAGTTGAATCACGACTTGTCGAAGAATATACGGACGAGAAAGATTATGGAAAACTCTCGGGGCATTTCTTATACTCTCCGTACGTGACGACATATTTAACACTACATGCCTGCCGCTATACAAGCATAACGATCGGTGTGCCGACAGTCACGGTTAAACAGCGGAACAAGGTTTCAATATCCGGGAAGAACGGCCGAGACCGGCGAAGACTTGACTCAGCGCCGCACGATGACTAAGAGGAGCGCGGGAAATTGATATTTACACTGCGCCGCGTTTAACCAACGATCCGCTCTGTTTCAAATTATAGCCCCGTACAAACGGTCGGCTCGTTTTCCTCCTGGCGGCGAGACGAATCCGGCGGCGTTAAAAGGTCCGCGGTCGAGCGCGCGGTTGAGGAAAAAAGCAGCCGAAGCGGCCGTAAGAAAGAGCGCGCGATGGCCGCGATAATTGGAGGCTCGCCGTTTGCGCGCTGATTTTACGAGCTCATCAAATCGCGTCGTTCTTCCCTTCGCCGTCGGTCCAGTCGATCACGGCGAGTGATCGGACGTTCTTGAGATTCGCGTCGCGCGGATCCGCATTCGCGTGCGCGCGTATTGCAATTTGCCGCTGCGAGGAGCGCGTTGCGGCCGGCCGATAAACGCGGAAGATAATGTCTCTCGCTCTCGTGGTATGAATTCTAATGCGAGGCTCATTGCCGAGATAGAATCGCCGCGATACCGCGCGAACGCGACTCCGCCCGCCCGGCACTTTCGTTTCGATGGGCGCGTTTTCTCGACTTTCTATCGATAAATAAGCATTACCGGTAATTACCGGCAATAACAGCGCCGCCGGCGCGATGGATTCGCGATCGCGTCGTTGCGCCGGCAATATGTGGTCGCGCAAAACAAACGCGACGCTACAAACGCACATCTGCCTGCCGAGCGTGTATATCACCGGTGGTTTGGACGTGTAATTTCGCCTTTACCTTGAGCCTACTCCCGGAGAACTTTCCATTCGTTTCTTTTTCCGCCGGTTTCGCGAGAGACTCTCATCGAGATGCGCGATCTCCTCGGCGCTTCCGACGCCACTACTTGCTGTAAGAACATTTCCGTCGGTGCGACCGAATTTCCCGCCCGGCGACCAGACGGAAATTCGGCTGTAGGAGCGGAAAGATTCTTGCAAGAGGTATTTCTACTTGGACAATTGTTCTCGGTTGTCTCAACCGAGCTTTAGATAGTTGGTTCGTCCAACTGTTTTTTGTCAGGAATCCTCTTCAAGTTTGGCATATCGATGGAAATACCATCTGCACGTCTGTAAACTTAGAAAACGACTGACCGTTCGGAAACTCAGATATTCGAAAGTGAAAATAACATTTCTTATATACCCTTTCGGACCCAATTTTGGTCTTTTTCCTTTGATAAATTTTGGACAAGACTTTGAGTGAGTTCTTATTGTATAGAATATCTTCAGAAAGTGAGACGTATACTACTGTGATCAAAAAGTGTTCGAATTTATTTTTAAAAAATCGCGTGAAAATGTAAATCAAATCTTACTTTACTTTCTTAAGTCGGTACACATGTCCTTCACATTTGATAAAAAAATCATGACGTTCCTTCAAGCCGTTTGAGAGTGGCAGTTGTTTATGTCAGTGAAGATTTTTGTGCGTGCGAGTTTTACGATGTCGAAAAATATGGAGCAAAGAATTTGTTTGAAATTTTGTATTGCAAACGGAATTTCGTTCACAAACGCATTCAAAATGCAAAAAGCAAAAAGCTTATGGCGATGATTGTTTATCGAAAACAAGTACATTTGAGTGGTTTAAGAAGTTTCAAGAAGGCCGAGAAAAGTCAGGGTCGTGATCACGGTTTTCTTCGATCATCGCGGTGTTGTGCACGAGGAATTCCTTCTATCTTGTCAAAAAGTAAATGGAGAATACTAATTGTCCGTCATTAGGTGTTTGCGCGAGGCAATCCGTAAGAAACGGTCGGAATTGTGGGAAACCAACTCGTGGATTTTGCATCACGACAACGCACCATCGCATGCCTCGACACTTGTGCGTGAATTTCTGACAAAAAACTCAACGAATGTCGCTCCGCAAGCACCGTATTCACCAGACATGGCCTCCTGCGATTTTTTCCTGTTCTCCTACTAAAAAAACCACTTCGCGGACAGCGATTCGAATCGATTGAGGGCATCAAAGAAAAATCGCTGCGTGAACCGAAAGCCATATCGTCTGCCGCGTATGAGCGATATTTCCAGGACTGGATTAAACGCTGGCATATGTGCGTTGCAAGCAATGGGGACCACTTTGAAGGAGACTATAAGAATTTTGACGATTGAATTGTTATTTTGATTTTTAAAAATGAAGTTCGGATACTTTTTGATCACAGTAGTATATCCCATTGGAGCTCAAACGGGTTAATGCAATACTGAATGTTCACACGAATATGCTTCTAGTCGCGGTAAGATCACTTCCTGTCGCCGAGTTTTCATTTCTCGTTACCGAAATTCCATCCGGCCTCTATTCCGTCGCAAGAATCGAGTCCTTTTCCTCCAAGTATCTAATAAAATTCCGATATCGAGAGAGTGACGCATGAAATTGTGACTCGCGACATCACCGATCGCGACGAGACGTCTCGTCGCGATCGAGGAGACTTCGATGCTCTTCGGCGAGCATCCGTCGTCGATCTGAAACACCACGGTCGTGTTACGACCGACCGTCGCTTTCCAGCGGTTTACGGTGAACCGATCGACGAGATCGGTCCCGCAGGGCCCGCGGAAAAGTCGTCTCTCTCAAGCGAACCGTAAAATCCCAGTCGTAAAATTCGCGCTTCCTGCCATTTTACTCCGCGACCGCGCGATCGGAGACGCCGTTTGCATGCGAGATCGTTTAGAAACTTCCGCGCGTGCGCGACGAGAGTGAGAGTCTTTCTCCACTTTCGATTGTGTTCGAAAACCGTCGCACGACACCGTCCCACGGTGCGTGCGATTTTTCCGCGAATGTTCCGTCGGATCGCAGAATACACCCGGCGATCGATCTCGGCTGGGAAAAGTCGCCGGATATATTTGACTAAGGAGCTACACGCTCCGACGACTTGCAATCTTTTCAAGCGTGCATATATTAGGTTGGCAAGGATGAAATTTGTAGTTAATAATATCGCCAACTGTAACAGCTTATTATTTGATATTGGCTTAATATATTACCGTTTTGTTTTTTTTTGTTGGAAAGTTACATATCTCGCCAGTTTTAAAGAAATAATTGTAAGCTCTAAAAGATATTAAAACCTTTTTTTAAAAATTAATTTTGTTGAAAATGGAACGGTCGGAAATTCGCACTATTATGAAGTATGAGTTTTTACGTGGAACTACGGCATCGCAGACCGCGCGAAACATTAATAGTGTATTTGGCTCTAGTGTTACTACGCAGCAGACGGTATCAAATTGGTTCGCCAAATTTCGTAAAGGTAACTTTGACCTCACAAATGAGCCATGCGGTCGCCCAGAATCAAAGGTCAATAATGACGAACTAAAGATCACCGTTTAGTCTGACCCATGTCAGAGTGCCTATGAATTATCGTTGAAGTTTGGTGTTGGCAAACAAACAGTATCAACTCATTTAGTTCAAATCGGTAAAGTGAAAAAGTTGGATAAGTGGGTTCCACATGAACTGAATGAAAAACAGAAACAAAAGCGTTTGGAAGCTTACTTGATGTTGCTTTCTCGTCACAAATTTGATCCATTTTTTAGTCGAATTGTCATTTGTGATGAGAAATGAATCCAATATGACAATCGCAAACGTCCAGCAGAGTGGTTGGACAAGGA